AGTTTCAGCCCGACGCAGTTGTCATTTTCACGTCCTGCGCCACGTTGTTTAAATAGCAAATGCATTTGCGCCCATTTGTGCGCCCATGGGCGTGCTGGTCTGAAAACGAGTGTGTTCAGGCGCATTGTTGGCGCGTTGCTATTTTGAGGCAACTGAAATAGACTGTGCCATTGACCAACAAAAACCTGGTCAAAAGTCTGGTGCAATATTTTTTCTTTGTTATTTAAAGAGCGCGTTAGCCTATAGACGGGTGCACAACGCGCGTACACTTTACTTATTACGCACACACAGGGATGCGCAGCAAAATAAGTAAGCCAACATTCAGTACAATTTATATATTTCATTTCAAGAATATAAAATTTAATTCATATCTTTTAGTTGAGTAGATTTCTTTCAGTTTTCTTTGATGAACAGAAAGTTCAGAAGAACAGCATTTATCTGAAATAGAAATCTTTTGTTAACATTATAAATGTTTTCTCATCACTTTTGATTAATTTAGAGCATTGTTGCTAAATAAAAGTATTAATTTCTAAATATTCACACACACAAAAAGAAAAAAAATTATACTGACTCCAAGCTTTTGAATTTTTAAAAAAATTTTATTTCACATAAATGCTGATATTTGGATCTTTCTATTCATCAAAGAATCCTGAAAAAACTGTACTCAACCATTTTTTGTTAACAAAATGTTTTCTCATCACTTTTGATTAATTTAGAGCATTGTTGCTAAATAAAAGTATTAATTTCTAAATCTTTTGTAACATTATAAATGTTTTCTCATCACTTTTGATTAATTTAAAGCATTTTTGCTAAATAAAAGTATTAATTTCTAAATATTCACACACACAAAAAGAAAAAAAATTATACTGACTCCAAGCTTTTGAATTTTTAAAAAAATTTTATTTCACATAAATGCTGATATTTGGATCTTTCTATTCATCAAAGAATCCTGAAAAAACTGTACTCAACCATTTTAAACATTGAAAATAATAATAATAATAAATGTTTCTTAAGCAGCAAATCAGCATATTAGAATGATTTCTGAAGGAACATGTGACACTGAAGACCGGAGTAATGATGCTGAAAATTCAGCTTTGATTTAAATTTACATTTTAAAATAATCAAATACAGTAGTCAACATTTGAAGTGGACCAGCACCTTTCATCAAAGTTGTCATAAAACCTAAAACAAAAATGTGTTCTTGTCTTAGGACAACTTTGATTAACTTTTTTGAACCACTTCAAATGTTGACTACTGTAGAAAGCAGTTATTGTACTGTATTTTGGATCAAATAAATGCAGGCTTGGTGAACAGAAGAGAATTCTTTAAAACATTAAAAATCTTACTGTTCAAAAAGTTTTGACTGATAGTGTGCATGTTACCATTTACTGACGTTTTTTTCTTCTGGATGGCATTGATGCCATGATTTTACTTTAAAAATAGATTTTAATACATATTTTTCTTTGTTTTTATTATTTTCTGAAATTCAATTAGCTAGAATTTTAATGTGCATTTACTTGTCTGAGTAACAAGCAAATCTTACCCACTCCAACTTTCTTAGCTCCAGTGGGCGTCTCTCAGGCAGACCATCACGGCTGGAGTGTATATCCACCTAACACACAAGGTGCAAGAGCATTAATAAGCATAAGGAGATGAAAATGAGAAAAACTTCATTCACAGCCCTTCACACAATTTAAAACCGGATAATATAACATGCATGATCTGTTTAATCCATAGAGCACACCTTTTCTGTCCTGAGACCCTCAGGGGACCACCAAGGAAGAACACTGAGTAAGTTAAGAAGGGGAAAAACAAAATGTCTGATAACTTTAACAATGTCCAGGAATACAGACATGATGGGCTGCAACATTCGCAGGAAGCTGTTTGTTCTGAAAGTACAATAATCTGCACGTTTTAGTCAAATTAAACTAAATCAAACTGAACACTATTTCAAATCATATTAAATATTGTTATGGATTTAATGTTATATAAAAATGTAGGTTATAATAGGACATGACAGCAATATTGTCCATTTTAATCACGTTCCAAAAATAATTTCAATGAAGTTACAGCTCAACAACAACAACAACAAAAACACCAAAGGAAAAAAAAAAAAAATTGGTACATACCATCGGTTTTGAAATCATGGTTCAGAAAAAAAAAAATCTAAATTGCTTTCTTTAGTAAACAGTGGTTTACTGAACAAATTGGGTCTCTCTTAAATGAACTATAATCAAAATTATTTAATGGATAAAAAATTTCAGCTAATGCCATAAATTATATAGGGAGTCCAATTGCTTGCACATTACTATATTGAAGGTTTAATTTAACGGAGCCCAAAGTATTAAATTGCAATTTTTAGATTATACAGGTGCATCTCAATAAATTAGAATGTCGTGGAAAAGTTCACAAAATTGTATGCAAACATTTAAATTGCACATAGGGTAGTTTTTACATTAACTTGAAAACCTAATTTCAAAATTATGCTTTTACTCTAATTCACTGTTGAAATATAATCATTTACTCACTGACTGTCATGAATCATGACATTTAAACACATTAAAGTATCCAGACATCACTAACAGGTTAACTAAAATTTGATGAATATATGAGCTAATATAAGGCATATATAGCAAAAAGCTTTTCTTTATAGTTCATTTCTGTCAAGCTATGGACTTACTTGAGGTAAATGTAATGCTATGTGATATTCTTTACAAGCTTTCTGCAATGGAAACACTGATTGAACGATTATATGGGCATGAGATGCTCATTCATGTTTATTTCATTCTATAACTAGTAGTAAAGAGAAAGAGATGAACATTCACTCACTGAGGTGCCTGTACAGTAGAGCTGCACAATTCTGGATAAATTGAGAATCACGATTTTTTTGTCTCAAATAGAGTTTACGATTCTCCCACGATTCTGAACTAAACAAAATAATGTGTGGCAAAATATGATTGCTATCTTATCTTATCTTATCTGTTTTCTTATCTCTGTGTGTCAGCGGCAGTGCGAACGCAGGACATCTAAGCAAATCTATGCAAAATATACATCTAAGTAATATAATACAATAATTTGGCATAATATAATCTACATGTGCTGCTCTGCATCTCTCTCTCTCTCTCATTCAGCTCACCAGCTCATCTCCAACAATGAACTGTTCCATTTATACACTTATTTCCACATAGCTTTGAGAAGCGTTAAACATGGACGCGCGTGCAGTTGCCGTACAGTATTAAAGCTTTAATCAGGATAAAACCATATATTAAAAGCTAACATAAGCAGTAACATTTACAAATAACAGCGTATCTAAAAGTATGAGACAACAAAAAACAAAAAACAGGCCTACCATTAAAAGCCGTGCTTGCACAGGTTCTGCACGATCCTCTTCAATAAAATCCTCTGCTTCTCAATCGGGCTCAAACTGATAAGCGATATTAACGATGCCGTTGTTTACAATACAACCGGAGCACATGCCGCTGAGGTGAGGGGCGGGACATCTAGATGCGCACTAGAGGCGGTTTAGCCAATCACAACACATTTTGATTGTTTTCAATCAAAAACTGTTTCTATTTCTGAGGGCGGGGCTTCATAAAAGCAGGAAATGATCAGCGCGTTTCTCAGAGAAGGGACAGAGCGGTGTGGAATAAAGGTAAATTATGTGAAAAATAATGCGTTTTTTTTTTTAAAAGGAAGCATTAACACATGTTAGACTGCACCCCATAAACACAATCAAGCCTAGAAAAAAAACAGTGAACCACCCCTTTAACAAGTGATTAGTTTTACATTTACTTCATGTTGTCAACATTTGGAATAGAATTTTCTTTAACTAGAGGGTATTGTAGTGTGATCCAGCCTTCATAAAATACAAATTAACAAAATGCATCATGTTTCATGTAATTGCTCAATCAGTGTTACAACCACAAAGGACACCAATAACACTGTTTGTGAATAATGTCGCACTTAACACTGCATTTTTCTTCAGGAAAGTTCTTTAATGACACGCATGTGCTGCACCTTGTTTACGTTCAGAGGAAAGCGCGCATACGTAGTGGTACTCTCTAAAATGGTGGCAGGGGGTGACTCGGGGGAGAAAACTTGTTGAATATAGTCATTATTTTAGTTTTTTTGGCACACAAAAAGTATTCTCATAGCTTCATAAAATTACGGTTGAACCACTGACATGACATGGACCATTTTACCGATGTCCTTACTGCATTTCTGGGCTTTGAACGTGGTAGGACCCTTGCTGTCTATGCAGAGTCAGAAAGCTCATTTCATCAAAAATATCTTAATTTGTGTTCCGAAGATAAACAAAGCTCTTACAGCTTTGGAACAACACAAGGGTGAGTAATTAATCATATAATTTTCATTTTTGCGTGAACTATCCCTTTAAATGGAAACACTTCAGCTGGTTCAAAGTAGTCATCTGATTGGTTGAATTCTACAGGATTTTTGGGAGACGTGTGTGTCGCGTTCTTTAACGCCCTGCCTGGAAAACAAAGTGTCTTGTGACGCTAAATCCCCTTTAGGAAAAAAAAAAGAGCAGCTGTATTTATAACTTTGACAATAAGTGCATACCATGATAAACTAAACACTGGAGTATAAGCATAAATGTTTTAAAATACGTCCAAGAGTTTTACATGTCAGTCAGTTATTGAAGTGGCATCAACTTTTCATTTACACGTGCCTAAAGATGATGCTACACACAATGAACTGTGATTGGTTGCTTTACCTGTTAGTCAGACAGCCTCTCGGATGGTCCTTGGCCAATCAAAGGGGTTCAGACCTTCTGTTGTCAGCCTGAAGGCCTGGCTACACAAGACAAAGATTTTCTTAACTTTAGGGCTTTCATGCAACTGGGCACAAGAACAAATCACACTAAGATTTGGACTACAGCAAACATCCCCATTGTGAAATTCACATCAGAGTCCTCATGCTGTCAACAGAATACCAATATAGATTTTTGGTAATGTCAATGTAATAATAAATGAACCAAACTCTTATTACAGTTATTATAAGAAGTGAAGATGTTTTAATTATTTTAAAATTGATGTTGAAACCATCATCATTAACTTACTTTAAGTTTTTACTTACCAACTGCATTTTCAGCTCCAGTGTGTCTCTTTAGCAAACCAGAAAATACTGAAACGCATATGGGTCATGAGAATTTTTTTTTTTAAATGGTAAACATTTTTCCCTAAATAATGTGACATTCTTTTGATAACGTCCATCAAGGCAGATGCATGTAAAACTACATCTAACATTTAAAACCTTACAGTAAATTATACTTACAGGTACTTCTGGTGGGAGACAGGAAAATCCAGTCT